ATTTAGCATGCTTCTGCCCAGCTAATAATCAGCTAAGTGCCAAATTATGATTTAACTGGATGGTTGTGAGTTCTGGAGGCTCAAGGGTGACTTGTACATTTGATGGCTGTACTTGTAAAAGGAGATCATGTGCTCTGCAGCTTGGCCTTCCCTAAGCTATGAGGAGCTATAAGGGATGTAGTGCTGTCAACCTGCCTGCCCACCTCCACCAACCATGGGATCGATCATTACCCTGCCTCCTAAAGAAACCTAACCAACACAGCTCCGGTTACTGCTGATGGGCCACATTTTTCTATCAAAACAGGCACCAGAGTCTTTCACAGCCAGTGACAGATAGGGGGGAGGCTGAAATGGCGACTTTGTAGCGGAAAGAGAGAAGCAGAGAAAGAAAAAAGTAATAAAGGGATGTGGTGGCAAGCGTGCGCAGCTGTTGAATCCTTCCATGTTGAACTTTGCCAAGACGGATGCTGAACTTAGACCCACATGTGCATTATTAATACTGAGCACTTACACGAAAATAAAGAAGCATTTACTCACCAAATGGTATGCCTGAATTAATCATAGAGCCATATTCAAAGGCATGATGAGCTCTCTTTCATGACAAACCTGGCAGTTTTCACTTAAGTGACAGATGTCCTCAGAATAAAAAAGGCCACCAGCTCTGCTATTATCTCTGCCATTATGTGACACACCATCAGTGACTGAGTAGAGGACATGCTTTGTTTTATGTTTTTTTCTCAGCATGGCATTTCTCACTCACTGAAATGATTTCTCATCCATGATCATAGTTACCTTAAAAGAGGAATATTATAGTCGCACACAGAGTAAAAGTGATGTATGAGAGGGAAGGCAGGTATGTCTGTAGAGTTTCTGCAGTGGGGTGCAGCACAGACCTGACCCTCCATACAGATACAAAAATGCTACCAGAGTGAATTCAGCAGAAAATAAACATGTGCTTTTCCTTTACCAGTGCGGTGGTTGTCTTTCCTGCCTTGGGCAAGTGGCCCTGTATGTGCACTGTAAATTGTTATGGGTGCATATATTTAACATTGTCTGCGCTTGTGCCTAGTGTTACTCAAACTGTGCAGACCGAAACCGCTTTACACACTCACAGCATGGGGACTCGCCATCCTTGTGGGGACTAGATGCTGCTCCCCACCATGTAAATCACTGAATTTTAGAGTGACAACTTGGCTTAAAGTTAGGATGAGGTTAGGGTAAGAGTTGTGTGTGTGGGTTCTCTACCGCTGTCCTGCATGTTTCCATCAGGTGCAAGAAGATTTGTGCCTGAAGGGCTCTCACAGAGTCTCTTCCAAACTTAGATTATGAAACGTATGTATCAAACCTCATGCAGTAGTCAGTGCATATAGAATCATGAGTCACAATCAACACTGCATGAAGGATGAAAACTTTATAGTCACATTTTTACACTTTCTATTTAAATACAACTTGTGTGACATTGAGTGTAGGTCGATCAATATATCTGATACATTTCAAATCGATCAATACCAACACCACCCTGTCTGGTCTCTCTCTCTCTCCGTCCACTCCTGTATTTTCATGGTTTGTCACTGTCAGATGCTAATGTGGTCACAGTGGTCAGCCCATGGTGGAGCCACCACAGCCAGCTGCACAGTCCGAGGTTATCTCAGTGTGTGTGTTCCCATGCACGGCCACTTGTGTGTCCGTTTAAGTGTTTGGTGTCTAGTCATGGAGTAAAACATGACAAAATGGTGGTTGGACAGCTGCCTGTTTCAGTCCACACACACTGAAATCTGGGATTTGTGCTGTGCTTCCATCACATTCTGAAGCAGTTTCCAAGTGTATCGCACATATTAACAACAGATGAAGTGCATCACTCTGTTGCTGGGTGAAACTCTTATATTACCAGAAGGTGAAATTTTCAGAAGAACAACTATACAACTGAAGTCTTAAGCTTCACTACCTGTACTTGAAAATAGAGAACATGAAGACAAAATGAGTTGCAAGTTACATGCATGTCTTTGCATGTATCTTGCATTCTCATTTATTGTAACTTCTTAATGACAAATATCTGAAGAGCAGGGCAGAGCGTGGCAGAGCGTGGCGGAGCGTAACAGGTCGTAGTGGAGCCTAGAGGAGCAGGGAGAGGGAGGGGCTGGGCGGAGCAGAATGGGTTGATATGGACTGGCGCTAATTTAAGTTGCATACTGTAGCTTGAGTCGCAGTTATTTATCTGCAAAGGTTTTCTTGCAATTACTGCACAACATGAATGGAAATTTACACTGGTTAATTTTAAAGACCATGAAAAACTGCTTACAACTTGCAAATGTGCTGGATAGCAGTGTTGCTATACTACACGTTAGCATCTGCTCTAGGGTGCCTTCCTTTGAATGTGAAACACAACAGATAAGAAAACAAAGACTCCCAGGCACCAACCAGCAATCAGACAAAACTCACAGTAAAAAATTCTTGTGCTGCTGTCTCATCATTTTCAACGCAAGTCAACATAATTACATACTCACTGACATCAGGTGCTTCATTCTAGCCTTTTTCAGTCATTGTATTTGTAGGGTCAGTAGCACTATCAGCCAATCACAGAGGTAACTTGTGAATAATGATGTTGTGATGCACTTAAATCAAACAGCCTGCTTCATTGTACAGCAGGCATAAATTCAGGTGTTGAGGTTTTGGAGTAAAAGAGCAAATACATCAGTCTGCACAGAGAGCCATCATTCTATCTTGAAATCTATCTCTATCCTTTGCTCTTAGAGTATGACAACTCCTATCAGCAGCCAATTTATATTCAGTGTAGTAACCATAGTTACACATACATGGCACAAAAGACACATTTAGGCTAGTGCCTGATTTTATCTCTGAGCTTTAACCCCCGATGAGCAGCTTGAGATCAGCTTCCATTGGCCGCATCACAGTCTAAGCTGGCAATTACTGCTGTTGGAGCTTTTTCCATCGGTCTTTCTGCACTGAAATGTCCTGCCAGGCACCTCCATTTCCTTTAAAATATTTTTGAAACACACTTTTAAAGAATTTCTTTGACTTAAACTTTGGTTTGTTTACATCATATACTGCAGTCTGTTTAGCTGTTGTTTAAAATGTTTCTTGCATATTTTGTTCAGTTTTATTTAGTTTTTTTCCCCCACAGTTTTCTTCTTATATCTTTAAAATGATTTCCCTTTACTACAGTTGTGGGAATGTAATAATGATGCAGCACAAACAGCTCTTGGGCTACGAGCCTTTACAGGAGACTAAAGCACAGGCACTATTGGATGCAGGTTAAACCACAACATGAAGGAGCAGTGGTGGTGCAATGATATATAATTGCCTGCCATGCAGGAGGTGCAGGTGTGAACAGGTCTTTCAGTCTCCATTATGCCAAAGCAGAATACAACTGTCTGATGGAGGAAGAAGGTGTGTGTCTGTGTGTGATGTATGGGAGACCATGACAAATTTGCATTTACACCTACAAGTCAAGCAGCTACTCGAAAGTAACTTTTAATATATAGTATCTTTGAAGCTCATTACAGATTTCACACTTACAGTAACACACACTTTAACATTTGGGATTACTTGAATATAATTTACATACATTTAAACTGCATTCATTTGTTAAACTATAAAGTGATGCTAAATTATCTTTTAAGATATTATATAAAATTGTTTTACATTTTAATGTAGCCTAGATTGACAGGCGTTTATGTATATCTGAAGCACATTTGTTGTAAAACATGAAAGCTATGTTTGATATAGTTCAGATCTACTTGTAATTATGACAAAATTGTATACTTAACTAGTGCAGTTTGATATTTTCACATGTAGCACACTCAGCCACGTGTAGAATTTATTTAATCATACAGCCCTCATTGCTGAACAAATTGTAGTGCAATGCATGATACACATACTAATATAAACATGAGGATAGCACCTGTGTGGGAGTTTATCAGTGGCCCTGCAGCTCCTTTTTCCCCTCATATACAGTAGCTCTGTGTCCATGTTTCCCACTTGGTTCTGTTGTTCTAATTTGGCACCGCAGAGCATGTTTTAAATCCTGGGGCTCACGTCGCGTATCTGTGAGTCAGCTGGATCTACAGAAAGGGCATTCCCCGTGGTTTTGAGATAATTACTTTCTTCCCTTATGACAACCCTATTGAATTTAGATTAAGCCAATAACAAACCTGTGACACCGCATGTCCTCTACATTGCATCTTGCCAGGCTGTTAATGTGCTCGACCCTTGTTTCATTTTTCCTCGTGTCGCATCAGCTGGTCCCCCTCTACAACCATGGTGGCTGCCCACAGGCGAGTACAGCCAGCACTGTGGCAGATGAGGCCTAGCAGAGGAAGTCTCATCAATAATGGAGAGTGGTAGCTGGGTGAGCCGTGCAGAGAAATTGTGGTGAAGTGAGTGCAGCTGGTGTGTTTGCCTCATTTCTTCTAAATGGACGTTTTGAAATGACACTCCCCAGAGTAAGGTGCATATTAATAGCTGATAGTTGTTCATAAGTTGTTGCTGTTCAGATAGTGTATGTACCTCATCATATGTTAGCAATTATGGACATTTTTTTCTGTGCTGTCATCTTTTCTCCAGGGAGCAGAACACATGAACTAACTGATAACACAGGAAACTATATAACTACATTTTTCTTATCATTTTTTAAGGGCCGTGCAGGTGGTTGTCATAATGTATGATGAAAAGCTGAATTCAGCTATGTGACTGTAGTCCCAAAAAGGCACATCCTACGAAGGCAAAAACAAGAAACCAGTGTGTAACTTAACTTCATCAGAGTCTTCAGACGACTAGGTTCACATGAGAATATGTTCTCCCGACAACTGTTCAAATGCAAACAAAAATTCCGTCACTGAGAATGTCCCAGTGGCGGTTATAGTATGGCAGCGTCTCCTCCCAGCTGCCACCCTGCTCCTTCTCGTCATTCAATGCACCTCATTGTATTAAGAAGAGGAAGGCCATTCTTATTCACATCTCTCGTGTTCTTGTTTCTCCAGGGGCCAGCCCTGAGGATGTGAAACTTGTTGGGAGGGTTTGGATGTCACGGGTGACAACAGCTTCCACTGCGTTTGACCAACGTGAGCCACGCGCATCTCTGCTCTCCAGACAGCACCAGTTACAGCAGGCTTGGGGCCAAATAGTTGCAACAGAACTTGACAACACCGACCTAAGGAGGAACAATATACATTGTAGGAGGGGCTTGCTGTTGCTGCAGATAGGTAGAGGACTGCTTGTGAGTATCCTATTGTTCTCATTGTTGTCAGGCAACCCATTTCCATATAACTGATTTCTTTTAGGAGCAGTGTATTTCTAGCTGGAGACATTTTTCAGATATATCAGGATACCTTTTATCTCTCTGTAGACTGTCTAATGTTGGTCTGGCTGACCTTGACAGTCTTGCTTTGTTCTTTTATTTGCACTGTCACTTGCATCCCACATGAACAAACACACAGCTGCCTTATTTGTTTCTGGTTTTCTACAATGCAGCTAAATTTAAAACTCCCTGAGCATCAAAGTAAAGGTAAAAGGATGATGCAGGTGATTGTATCTTCCTCTCTCTTTCACTCTATCATGACTGTCTTCCTACATTGTCTCACTTCCTGTCTCGTAGATGTTTCATTTTCACCAGGAAATCCAGTAGAGGATTTAGGTGGAGGACAGGGGCAAAATGATCTGACAAATCCACTTACCTCTGCTGTCAACGATCCCCCCGGCCTCTGATAATATTAGAGCTTGATATACAGTATATGTAGGCATTGCACACTGGAACAAGGGGGAAATAGTTGAGGAAGAGGAGGGGGAGGTGTGAGAGCTCAATAGCCAATGCTGCTGATGGCAAAACCAAGAAAATAATCTTAAGGTGTGAAGGCAGCAAATAATGAGATAGTGAGGTGAGGAAAAGAGAAAGAACAGCTGAAATCCTAGGCTCTGTTGTGTTCTCACTACCAAAAAACAAAAAAATCATGATTTCTTATTGGTAAGCCTTGGATACAGTGAATCAAAACCTTGTATTTTCATATTGCCTTTTGCCCGGTGCAAAGAAGCACAGCTGAAATAAAACAGGTTAGCACACAGATTATTGTAGGGACTACAAAAAAAAAAATTTCTGGGTTCACACCCCTGGGTGACAGCAACATGTCAGCAATGCACCAAATATAAAACTTCCCTTGCCCGATTTTTAATTTAAGAGTTTTTTTTATTTAAAATTAGATAAGGATTCGCCGTTCTCAATGATTAACAGCATAATAATGAAATCAAAATCTTTATTTGTCCAAATTTTTGATTTCTGGTTAAAAAAGTAATGACATTCAATCAGCTTCAGTTGTACTTAGTTTTTAGTGCTAACTGGCATGTAAACAAGTATCATAGTGAACATGGTAAATTTAATACTGTACTTACGTAGTATCAGCATGTTTTCACTGTCACTGTGAAAATGTTAGCAATGATAATGTAAACAAAAGCACTGCTCAAAGCACTGCTCAAAGCATCTGTTCATACTTAGATCCTCACAAAGCCACTACCCTGGCTGTAGATTTGGCTGTAAAGATGGCTGTAACTATTACACATCTTCTTAAAAAGTTGAGAGGTGACATTAATATCTGTAATGCAGTTAGTGTTATGTGGACCGGCAAAGTCCTGAATAGTCTTTTAAATAACAGTAATATGTAATATGTGTACCGCCACGCTGCAAAGTGATCACGGGAACTGCAGTTTTATCAGTGTCAAAAAATACATTGTTAAATAACCTTGTTAAAACCACAAACATTTCAACTTTCAGTAGTAACAGTTGTAGTAGTTGGGGGCTTGCCTTAGAATATGAAAAAAAAGCAGAGGAATGTGCTTAGTTTTCTTACAGTGACCAATAAAAAATATACTAAATGAGAGATGCATAGAGTCACTGGAGCTAGTGGAAAAGAGGCTAACTGGATGTGACGACATGACTTATTGGGCTGCATTATACAGCAGTAATGTTACCTTACGTTACGTCTTCTCGTATGCTGTATGCACACAGGCAGCCACAGTTCAGGCAGCTGCCAGACACACTGTTTACTTAGCTTATGTGTGGTTTAGGCATGAATGAAAAGGTGCAATACCATAACATCCCATGATCATAGTTTGATTTACAATCTCTCGAAGCTTAGAGCAAATAGCATACATGTTATGTAATAATTGACATAGCACTCCCAAACCCTTTAATTAGTGTGAGCTGAATTAGCAATGACTAATCAACATAGCAACCTCTCATCAGATTTATAGATGGCTACTGCTGGGGAGAAACTGACTTTTTCAGTCAGCAGGGAAATGCTGAAAGATTCCTGGCTGAAACACATTACCTCTCAAATGGAGGCATGGGCACACACACGCACGCACATACACACATTTGTATATGCAGATGAGACTTGTCTGTTCCTTCTGGCTGTCCCTGTAGAGCTGTCGCACATGCTGCGTCCTGAAGCACCAGGAGACCGGGGTTGACTTGAATTAAACTGAGAGGATGTCCTTTCCAGATCTGCAGAAGGCTACAGAGACACATCCGCCCCCAGAGTGAGCCAGTCAAAAAGATGGAGGGAGAGAGAGATGAATGGAGAAAGAGATGGAAAAAGAAAGGAGGTTGGAGATAGGGTGGAGAGAAGGAGGAAGTTAATTTAAAAAAAGCAGAGAGGAACTGTCTGTGGGAGAGAGGGATGGAAGATGAGAGGGAGAAGAAGGAGGACACTCAAATAAGAAGGAAGGAGAGAACAAAATTGTATGTGTGTGTGTGTGTGGGGGGGGATTGTGTGTATGCACGACAGAGAAAAGAGCGAAAACAGAGAGTGACAGAGAGAAAGCTCAGAAGCTAAGGCACCTGACACACCTAGAATATATTTCTTCTTTTCCCTCTGCTCTGGGCAGCAATAGCCAAAAATGATACAAATAACAAGAATAAAATGCAAATTGTCCTTATGTACTTTATGTCACTGAATAGGCAAGGTGTTCAGGTTTGTGAAACAATCTAATACATTTTTAAAATCCTCTCATTATTATGAAATGTTATTTCATCATTTGATGATGTAGTCTGTGCTGATGTGTGAATAGATTCATAAACCTTCCTGCTTTCAAATTTCAGAAACTGTCACATTGTCTTTTCATAGCAATACTGTAAGTGGAATATATTTGTCTGTTGCTTAGATGAAACTAGACAGTTTATCACCTTGGGCTCTAAAGAATTGCAATAGGCATTTTGCATTGTTTTCTGATGTTGTTTAGACCAAACAATGAAGCGATTAATTGGGAAAATAATTGGCATGTTGTTTGATTATGAAAAGAAGTGAGTAGTGATTTTTATTTTCACCGTGTCTTATTTAGTCATTAAATTTTAAATACTATGGGCCTCTGTATGCTAAGATAGATATATGAGGCTGACACTGGCTTATACCACACCACACCTGACCTCTTTTCTGTGGAATACAAGATTCTGATACAATTTTGGTGCCTGTTCATATGGTTATGGGCAGGTAAAGCATTACATATTAGGATTTTAGCACAATTTTGGTGCCTGTTCATATGGTTAAGCATTACATATTAGGATTTTGGTAATAAACACTATAGTCAGCAATTACATGTAATGCAGCACCATCTGCATAATGAAGAGAGAGCATTTGGATGTTATACTCATTTAGAAGGAAAAAACCCCACAATGTGTACTGTATATGTTAATCTGGCTCAGTCTTTATCACAGCTAAACTACATATAAACTATATCAGTGTCTAAATACCCAGATATATACGGTACAGTGCAGTGTATGTTTAGAATAGAATACAGTAATGTATATCCTAACCTGAGCTTTAGAACAGGCCATTACTTCCCATATCCCATCCTCAAGCACTGTTGTTAACAATAAGTGCATTTCCCATTCTGTTCCTAGCACTCTCTTTTTTTGCTGTGGATGATAAACATGCTACAGACTAAGGTTTTTGTAAAACAAGAAATTGGAACATAAATTATTAAGTGAGAATGCACCTTCCCAAAAAAAGCACCCATTGTATTTTCTCTTTATGCCTGCAAACTACAGTAGGTGATGCAAGAGGAGCTTGTTATGCTTAATACAGGTCACCATTGTTGTTTCACCAAATCTGCTAGAAACCCTTTGCAGCATTTGTTCTGCTCTTTTTCATACAAGCTCTTTGTTCTGTAATGACACAAACCTGCTATGCAGAAATTCTACAGGCGGGACGTTCTCAATCTATTTCACTAATTCCAAGCATGACACACCATCGTTGTATGTGATTACTTACATGAAGCGGAAATGAGCAGTTCAAAGATATTAATACACCCATTTGGTGGTTTTATTAGAGTTTAAATTGATCAATATTTACTTGGTTTTCCCACCTGCAGTACACTTTAATTACATTTGTGCCCTTGGCAGTTTTCTGTAGTGTTAATTCTTACAACCCAAGCAAGAATACAAATGCTGACCTAAAAATGTGTGGTGAAGGCACAGCTGCCAAGAAAATGCTTATGAATGAGTTTTTATGCTTCTTAGTTTATCTTAGTCATTTAGAAATGCTTTTTACATCAAGACAGACATTTGAACTTGTAATTAAATTACCCACTAACTGTTAACTTCAGAAGAATCCATGGCTTATTTTACAATATGCAAAATAGAAACTGTGCAGAAAACATTGAATTGAGTTATTTCATATATTATAAACTATCTAATATGAACTACTGTGTGCAACAGCAACTTGCAAACATTCTAAACTGAGATGGAAAATGGGATGGGATGGAAAGAGCACATGTGCAGGGATACAGATTTTGCAGATATAGATAATGTTGTATTATAAAGTTAGAAGGAATAAAACATATGCTATGATGCAACTGTTTGCAGTTTCATTGTTATCATGAGAAATGTCTATTTAACAATTCCCTCTTGATACCTCAGATATTCAGTGCACAGCAACCTGGTTTTGGAGAGTATACCTTACTGTAAGAAACAGACCACGCACAGGATGCATGCAGACAGAATGCCAAATCAGGGCAAAAAGCAAGTATTTTTTAGTAGACAAAAGGCCAAAATGAACACAGTAGAGCAGTGAAAGTTTACTGTTTGAACATCTCTATTCTACCTAAACCAACATGACCTAAATAACTGGTTCAGTCTCTCGGGCAGTTTGGGATTTATCCACAAGCCAGCTGGCTGCAGCACTGCATGGTACCTGCACAGAGTGAGCTCCTGCAAGATTAGATACTGTA